CAATTTCCACCAGTGGTACTGGTTCGATTGTTTTTGCTTAGAATTGCTAATTCCTGTGGGTTGGGTGTAATTGTGCAATTAACTGGCCATCTGGAGCCACGTGTTGAAATTTTGGGGTGAGCTTAACTACTGCGGTCGTATGTTACCCTGTTGAGGTCTATTTTGCTTGCTTTGCTGGAGGAATTGTTGAGGTTTTGTGGGGTTATTGCTTCAGTTCCTTGAAACCCTGTGTCGCTTGACTTACTTTGTAAGTTTGGAATTGTATACTCTGTTGCGGACTGCTGTTGGGGGCTATTTCTTCCATTGTGTGATCTCCACCAGTGGTACTGGTCAGAGTATTTTCACTCAAATTTGTTGCTTCTATTGGATTGAGTGAAATTTGGCTATTCACTGTTAATTTGGAACCCTTTTGTGAGATTTTGGGAGGGCTGGACTACTTAAATTGTCTAGTGTCATTTGGGCGATTTGACTCTGCTACTGCTTGTTCAACTGGCCAACGGGTGCCACTTATTGAATTTTTAGGAGCTGTTATTGGTATCTTCCCCCTTATATTTGTACTCTCTCTATTTGGTTGGGTGTTTGGTTAACTGCCAAGGGCTTGTGCATGTGTTGCTCTTGTTGAGTTTCTGCACTCCTATTACTTAAATTGCTAGTTGTTTTTGCTGGTGTCTATAACTGTTGGTGCTTCTTGTTGGGTTGAGCTAACTGTTGAGAGCACATGGTGAGACCAAAATCATCCTCTAGGTCTAGAGTCTCTCGTTCTCAGCCCCCTCCACAGGCATCTATTCCTGTGAATATACCTACCAACCTACCTTACTCTTCTAATGTCCGAACCCGTTTGGGTAGGGGTAGGGGTGCTCAGGTAGATACCCCAACTCACTTTGGAGGGCACCTAACCTTCACTAGACCTGCCGATCAGCAGCGATATGCTAAAGTCTGTGAGTGGCGTATCATACCTTATAAAACTAGTAGCAAATTGACCATGATGGGCCTAGGTATACGAGAGGAGGTCGAGCAGATGTTTGCGGCCATCGGGTGGCGCCCATATCTCGATATCTTTTGCCCCGCCTTTGTTGAGCTGATTCGGGAGTTTTATGCGACCTTTGAGTTTGAGTTGCCCCCGAGGTTCACCGTTGAAACACCCAATGTCATCCATTTCCGTCTCATGGGTCGAGAGTTCAATTTCTCCATTACCCAATTCAATCTGGCATTTGGGTTTATTACTAGAGAGTATGCTGAGACTAGGGAGTATGCGGAGAGTGCCTGTGACTACATAGAGCCATTCCTCTCCCGATACCATGATGTGTGGGAGGATATATCCGTCGATACGCAACGCTACGATCCTTCCCGGTCTAGGAGCTCCTTTCTTAAGGATCCTAGTGCCCGCTATGTTCAGCGATTCTTAGCCTACAGCTACTCGGGGCGCAAGGACAGCTCCGGCATACTCTCTCGTCCTGAGTTTTTTTCCTCTGGAGTATGACGAACAATATCAAGGTCAACTTGGGGTGTTGGTTGGCGGCGCAGTTCAAGACTGTTTTGACCAAGAAGAACAAACCTCTGATTCTTGGGTCCTACATTACCCACTTGGCGACGCAGTTGGGAGTTCTTAACCTGGAGGACCACGACCTACATTTGGCGCTCGAGATGGAGCTCTTGGATGAGGATTGCTTAGAGAGGATGGGAGTCATCGAGCGCCTGCCTGATGGATCCTACCAGTTTACCCCTCCGGGACCACCTCGAGCCCCGGGTGCACACCATTCGGCCCGGGCAGGGCCATCTTCCTTCCCTGGGTCGGCCCAGGACACCGCTGGGACGTCATCTTCTGCGCCACCTCCACCATATGGTTCAACTGAATGGCAGCAACTCCGGGAGCAGGTTCAGAATTTGGAGGCTCGAATACTCAACGTCGACCTCAATGTAGCTGGCATCGCGCAGAATTTGGCGCAGTTTCTGCACCATACGGGCTTTGCTCCTCCAGCTCCGCCCCGCCCACCTCTTTGATCGGATTTCAGGGAAGTGTTACTGTCCTCTCACTCACTTTTCTTGGTTATTTGTCACATTGAGGACAATGTGTCCTATAGGTGTGGGGGGATCTAAGGGGGTGCTAGTGTTTTCCGTTTTTAGTAGTTTTTAGTATTTTTTTTTTTTAGTTTTGGGTTTTAGTTTTTAGTCGTTTTTCGTTTTATTTTTTTATCTGTTCATTTTCTTTCAATCTTGTTGGTAGGTGTCAAAAAAAAAAAAAAAAAAAAAAAAAAACAAAAAAGTGAGTCTTTAGTTTTTAGTAGTTTTTCTTAGTTTGTTTCTAGTTGCTTATTTTCCGTTCTTTCTTCTTGGTGCTTACCTTTTGTGTGAATGCCAAAATTGAGATGTGGACTTATTGACTCCAAGTCTACTTTTGCCAAGTTTTAAAATACAAAGGTATTGGGTTCATGTGATTGGATTCGAGATATCTCCTTGGTGAATATCGGACTGCTTGATTCTTTTGATTTCTTTGTTAATTTTTCTAGGCATAGGGCTGTTGGCATTTTGAGGTGAACTGGTCCAATATTGACTCCAGTTCTCCATGTTTGGCAATAATGAGGCGAGCTGCCCCTATGCTTGGTTGCTAGTGTTGGTATTTCGTGATTTTGGCTTTGTTTGGCTGTGAATAAACTTGACTGTACTCCGCTATTAACCACTACTGAATAACCGGGAATTGGCACCTAAAAGTGTCGATTTTCACGTCAAAAGGTGGTGCTTTATATGAGTACGTGGTCGTATAGCGGTAGGAGCTGAGTAACAGAGCTCTCTCATCTAAAAATGTTGGAGTTCGCGTCAAAAGGCTCCGGCGGCTAGAGACTAAGTCTTCTTGTGTCAAATATTATGATTGCTTGAAAGAAAGTAAAAACAAAAAAAAAAGGGAAAAAAAGAGGGAGAATAAATAATAGGAGAGCTTGCTGGTTTATGGACTTAATATGGGGACTTGTGTGAATATTTGGACCATTAGTTGATAAATGTTGCGTGCCATTCCTTTTTCTTAGATTAGTTAATTTGGAAATTGAAGGAGTTGGTGGTTTAGAGGCTAACTGGGGGGATGCCTCTCGGATTTTAATTACTAGTGCCCGATATGTGGTTCTTTCTTGAATATCTTGGCAATTTGGTAGATTGGGCAATGACCATTATCAAATTTTGGTGTCTTATGCTTGGGGACAAGCGTGGTTTAGGTGTGGGGGGAATTGATAGGTTGCAGTTTCAACTTTTATTTTATTATTAATTTCTCCTATTACCTGACTTGATGTGGATTAATTGCGAGATTCTACTCACTTTTAGTATTGTGCATTTATTTCAGGGAGTAGAACGAAAATACGATAACAAGTGCCAAGTTTGACATAAAAGAAGTCCAAGCCACAGAGCTTATTGGAGGGATATTGTTGGCAAAGAAGATATGATGCCCATTTTGGTAATTTCCGCAAGGAAGGACGAACGGAGGGTTTCTCCCTCCTGGTGAGCCGCCGCAATAAGAAGAAAGAAAAAGGGATCAAAAAGGGGGCTGGCTTAATTCTCAGTGGGCCGTCGGTAGCTTAGCAAATGGAATTGTTGACTTTTGTTTTCCCTTGGACTTACTTTTGACTTGAGAAAAACTCACGGATGTTAGGAAGAAAAGGCAATTGTTAGCTTTTAGCTTTGACTATTCTTCTTGATCTCTTTTGATCTTGAATCCTACGCATGTCAGGAGCAAAGAATTGGAGCCTGATTTCTTTGACTTTTCTTTCTTGTACCCTGTGAGTGATTTTGCTCTACGGATGCTAGGAACAATAAAGTGCTTCAATTGTTACCTGTGCCTTACATTTGTTTTCTAAGTGTTTGACGAACTGCGGCTCTTGAAATGCATACAATGGCCGTGACTTCTGCTGAAATTTCCCGCGGGCTTAGTTCATCCAATATGAGCTAATCCCCTCGTTCTAGTCAAGAAACGACGGATGCTTTGGGTCACCTGAAAACTGTGAGATCGATTTAATTTAATCTTTCCCTTTTATTCATTGGTATTCGTGTATTCCCTGATTACTATGCTTATGGTTATTTAATTAGTCGATTGTCTTGGATCCAGATAATTAATTGATTTGGTAATCTATTGTCAATTGGGGTATTGAATCCGTAATTGTTTAATTACCTCAAAATAGTGACAACTGGCACGATTAGATTCGTGTCAGGGGGGATACGCGGGCTAATCTAAAATAACCCTGGTAGTGTGTTGTTTGGTTAGAATATGGCTCCTCTAATACGTAAGGCAATTGGGGAATTAAATTCTACGGGCGTACCTAGGATTATTTCTCAATTAGAGCAGTGATTAACGGGCGTACCTTGATCACCGACACAGTAAGGAGGGGTTGACTGCCATCGCTTGTTTGGTAGTTATAACCTATTTATTGGTAAATAATTGGGATTGCCTTTGCTTCGATGATCAATTAGGTGCACCATTGCTGAAGTTATTTCTTGGCTAGATCCTTAATTATCACTTGTTTGATTTTAGTAATTTGTTATTTAATCCCTAGTTGGCTATTTTACTTTTATCATTTCATTTCTAGTTGAATTGTTTAAATTGTCACTCCTGATATAAAACACCCCCTTCGTCACTGTGAATTTGGAAAGGAACAATTACTCCCAATCCCTGTGGATTCGACCCTACTTACTGCTATTTACAGAAATTACTTTTAGTTGAGCAGGTTTTATTATTGCACAGGCTGACAACCTGTCATCTATGAGGGGCTACTTTTCAGAGACAGGAGTATAATCGACGCTGCAAGTGGAGAGGCGTTAGTGAACAAGACTCCTCGGGCAGCATGGGAGTTGATTGAGGGGATGGCTGAAAATTCGCAGCAGTTTGGTACTAGGGAGGATATCCTGACACGTAAGGTGAATGAGGTGGAAACATCCTCCATCCAACAACAAATTTCTGAATTGTCATCCTTCGTGCGGCAGTTAGCTGTGGGAAGTGCCTCACAAGCCAAGGCATGAGGGGTATGTGCTGTTTTGGGTCATTCTACAGAGATGTGCTCACCAGTTCAAGAAGAAAATGCAGAGCAAGTGAACATGGCTGGTTACGCGCCCACGCTAAGAAAGCAGTACTACTCTTACTCAATCACAATCCTAGTTGGAGAGACCACCCCAACCTCAGCTATGGAGGGAACAGGCAGACTAATTTCGTGCCAAATCGACAACAAGGGTACCAGCAGCAATACCAACCCCTACCACCTCCGCCACCGAGCTCTAGTCCATCTTTGGAGGAGATGATGAAACAACTGATAGCAACTACAGCGCAAAATCAGCAAAGGACGGACTCCGAAATGCAGAGCATAAGAAATCAGATGAGTCAAATGGCCACAACCATCAACCGTTTGGAGTCCCAAGTCCAACGTAAATTGCCGTCTCAGCCTGAAGTGAACCCGAAGAATGTAAGCGCGATGACCCTAAGGAGCGGGAAGGAAATCCAAGAACCCGACCCTGTGATTCCTAAGGACAAGGACGAGGAACGAATCGAGAAAGAGTTGGAAGAAGAGGGCAGAGATACCAAAAATCCAAAGGTAACCTCGGATCCAATCATTGCAGTTAGGACTAATCCACCTCCCTTTCCTAGCAGGTTAGAAAAACCAAAGAAGCAAGACAAGGAGAAAGAGGTCCTGGAGATCTTTCGCAAGGTGGAGATCAACATTCCCTTACTGGATGCGATCAAGCAAGTACCTCGATATGCAAAGTTTTTGAGAGACTTGTATATCAACCGAAGGCGGTTGAAAGGAGATAAGCGAGTGGTGGTGGGGAAAAATGTGTCAGCAATGTTACAAAGGAAGTTTTCACCGAAATTCGGGGATCCAGGTATATTCACCATTCCCTGTAGGATAGGTAATACCTTAATTGGGAAGGCCATGTTAGACCTAAGAGCTTCGATAAACGTCATGCCAAAGTCCATATACGTCTCTTTGAATTTAGGGCCTTTAAAAGAGACTGGTATAATAATTCAACTGGCTGACAGAACCAATGCATACCCTGACGGGTTGATCGAAGACGTTTTAGTGAAAATTAATGAACTGGTTTTCCCTGCTGATTTTTATGTGCTTGACATGGATGATGAACACTCCCATGACCCCTCATCTTTATTGTTGGGCAGACCCTTTTGAGCACAGCCCGAACAAAAATTGATGTGAATAATGGTACTTTGTCTATGAAATTTGATAGCGAGATTGTTCATTTTAACATTTTTGAAATCATGAAATATCCGTCAGATTCAAATGTTAGCTCCGTTTTCTCTGTAAGTGTTATTGACCCTGCGGTACAGAAGGTTTTCGAGATTGAAGGTAGGGATCAGTTGGAAGTTGCCTTGACCAGGCACTTCGAGTCAGAGATGACCTTTGGGATAGAGTTGAGTGAAGAGCTCAAATGTGTGATTGGAGCGTTGCAGACGTTGCCAACCACAAAAATAAGGTATGATCGCGCACCCATCTTTACACCCTAACCCCACCAACGGTTACTTCCATCTGTGGTGCATGCACCCGTTTTGGAACTAAAACCGTTGCCGAAACACCTAAAGTATGCGTACTTGGGTGAGGGGGAGACACTTCCAATAATCATCTCCGCAAGTTTATCAAAAGTCCAAGAAGACAAATTGATTCAAGTTTTGAGGGACCATAAGCAGGCGATAGGATGGACTATCGCCGACATCAAGGGAATTAGCCCCGCGATATGTATGCATCGAATTCGACTCGAAAAGGGTGCTAAACCTATTCGGCAGGCTCAAAGGAGATTGAATCCTCTCATGATGGAAATAGTGAAGAAAGAGATCTTGAAACTGCTTGATGTGGGGATAATCTTTGCAATATTAGATAGCCCCTGGGTGAGTCCAGTACAGGTAGTTCCGAAAAAGATAGGGGTGACTGTGGAATCAAATCAAGAGGGTGAACTTGTACCAGTTCGAAAGCCCACCGGGTGGCGGCAGTGTATTGATTATAGGAAGTTAAACGCCGTTACGAAAAAGGATCATTTCCCTCTCCCTTTTATTGATCAAATGGTAGAGCGATTAGCAGGTCGAGCTTACTATTATTTTTTAGATGAATTTTCAGATTATTTCCAGATTGCCATTGCACCCGAGGACCAGGAGAAGACAACCTTCACGTGCCCGTTTGGAACATTCGCATATCGAAAGATGCTGTTTGGATTGTGCAATGCACCTGCCACCTTCCAACGATGCATGGTGAGTATCTTTTCAGAGTATGTTGAGAAGATTATTGAGGTTTTTATGGATGATTTCAGTGTGCATGGGGAAAATTTTGATAACTGTTTAGATAACCTCAAATTAATTTTGATAAGGTGTATAGAAGCTAATCTCGTGTTTAATTGGGAAAAATGTCATTTTATGGTTGAGTACGGGATAGTTTTGGGTCATGTAGTGTCGTGTAGGGGTATTGAGGTTGATAAAACGAAAATAGATGTTATATCTACTTTACCTTACCCTGCAAGTGTGCGGGAAGTGCGTTCTTTCTTGGGTCACGCAGGTTTCTACAGAAGATTTATCAAAGATTTCTCGAAAATTGGAGCACCTATGTTCCAACTTTTGCAGAAAGAGATGCCCTTCGAGTTCGATGAAGCATGTAAGAAGGCGTTTGCTAGATTAAAGGAGTTATTGATCTTTTCAACCATTATCCAACCGTCCGATTGGAATCTACCATTCAAGATCATGTGTGACGCCAGCGACTATGCAGTGGACGCGGTGCTGGGTCAAAGAGTGGGAAAGGCAGCACATGCTATATACTATGCATCTCGAGTCTTGAACGGAACTCAGTTGAACTATTCGACCACCGAAAAGGAGCTTTTAGCTGTAATTTTTGCTTTAAAGAAATTTCGGTCTTATTTGCTAGGTACTAAAGTTGTTATTTTCTCTGATCATGCAGCACTGTGGTATCTGTTGACCAAGAAAGAGGTAAAATCGCGACTTATAAGGTGGATACTGTTGCTACAAGAGTTTGACCTGGAAATCAGAGATAAGAAAGGGGTAGAAAATTTGGTAGCAGATCACTTGAATCGGGTACAAGTCACCGAGGACGACCTCCCACTGAGAGAAACATTCCCCGATGAGCACTTATTTTCTGTTAATTTATCCTTGCCTTGGTATGCAGATATTGTTAATTTTCTAGTCACCGACAAGTTTCCTGCAGGATGGCCTAAGGCAAAAAGGGACAAGTTAAGGAGTGATGCAAAGTTTTACATTTGGGATGACCCTCACCTCTGGAAGCGTGGTGCCGACCAAATCATTTGTAGATGTGTAAGTGAAAATGAATTCCAATCTATTTTAACTTATTGTCACTCTTTTGCATGTGGAGGTCACTTTGGACCAAAGAGGAAGGCTCGTAAGGTTCTAGAGAGTGGATTCTATTGGCCGACTCTCTTCAAGGATGCCTACTCATTTTGTAAGTCCTGTGATAAATGTCAAAGAGTAGGTAATATTTCTCGTAGGGATCAGATGACCTAAACCCCAATGATTTTTGTTGAGATTTTTGATATTTGAGGTATTGACTTTATGGGGTCTTTTCCTTCGTCTTATGGTTTTCTATATATATTGCTTGCCATAAACTATGTTTCGAAATGGGTGAAAGCAAAGTCCACCCGTACTAATGATTATAAGGTGAATGCAGAATTTGTCAAATCTAACATTTTTGTCGGCTTTGAGATGCCGCGAGCGATTGTAAGTGATCGGGGTACCCATTTCTACAACAAGACAATTGTTGCACTTTTCAGAAGGTATGGCGTCTTACATAAGGTATCTACGTCCTACCATCCTCAAACAAATGGTCAGGCGGAAGTATCGAACCGAGAGATCAAGTCGATTTTGGAGAAGATGGTTCGACCTGATAGGAAGGATTGGAGTATGAGACTTGAGGATGCCTTATGGGCATATAGAACAGCGTACAAGACGCCAATCGGCATGTCCCCTTATCGTTTGGTATTTGGGAAGCCATGTTACCTCCCCGTCGAGTTCGAGCATAGAGCATTTTGGGAGGTCAAGCAATGCAATATGGATACTGAGGAGGGCGGAATTCAAAGAAAGTTGCAATTACAAGAATTGGAGGAGATTCGTAACGAAACCTACGAGAACGCTGTGATTTATAAGGAGAAAAATAAGATATTTCATGACCAGCAGGTCTCTAGGAAGACGTTTGAATGTGGGCAAAAACTTCGACTGTACCACTCTAAATTGAAGTTATTTCCAGGTAAGTTACGTTTTCGTTGGATCGGTCCCTTCGTTGTAACTAATGTCTTTCATTATGGTGCAGTAGAGATCCAGAGTTTAAGGACGGAAAAGAAATTTGTTGTGAATGGTCATCGTCTCAAACCATATTATGATGGGGCTCCAGTTGAACGGGTGGAGACGATGCATTTGAGGACCGGATTTGTATGGTTTAAGCAAATTATGGGTTATATCTAGCCAAAAACACTAAAGAAATGCGCTCTTTTGAGAGGCAACCCGAATATTGATTTTATTGTTTTTAGTTGTTCATTTCTTTCGTTTTGTCGTTTCTCCGTTGGGTAGTATTAATATTAATGTTTTCCTACACTGTGACCAGGAAGTGTAATCTTGGCGTGCCCACGCGGTGTTCGTGTCTCCTGAGGTCAGTGGACGTTTAACAATCTTGGCATGCCCGCGCGGTGTTTGTGTTTCCTAAGGTCAGTGGATATTTTGTAATCTTGGCGTGCCCACGCGGTGTTTGACGACCCAAAACATGAATTCAAAAAAAAAACTTATTAATTATTATTATTATTATTATTATCATTAAAAGAAAAATGAAAAGATTATTTTCTTTTTAAACCTTCACAAAAATTTTTTTAAAAAAAAAAATCAAAATTTTTTTTTTCTTTTTAAACCTTAAGTTTTGTTTTCTTGTCAAAAATTTAGAATTTTGAAATATCAATTTGGAAAAATGAGAAAACAAGGTGTTAAAAAAAAACTTTTTCTTTTTCTTTCTTTCTTTTCTTTCCTTCTCTTTTCTTCTTTTCTTTCTCTTTTCTTCTTCTTCTCCGCCGCTTCCCCTATTTTCCCCTTTTCCTTCTTTCCTTTCGCACGCCGCCGCCCACAATCCTCCTCTCCTCCTCGCGCGCCGCCAGCGCACTTCCAGCTCATCCGCCGCCGCACTCCTCTTCCTCGCTCACCACCAGCTCGCCCACCACAGCAGCTCTACCCCGCGCGCCGCTGCCTATAGCGCCGCCCGCGCGCCCGGCGCTGCATCCCTGCCCACTTCCTCTCTCTCTTCCCCCCCGCGCGCCCGCCTAACCTCTGCAGCCGACCATGCCTCTCTCCAGCTCGCGTGCCCTCTCCCAGTCCTTCTCCACTTCAGCCCGCCATTGCGAACGGCGGTCGACAGTCGCGCATTTCTTCTTCTCTAGCCGCGAGACGCCGCCACCTCCCACTCTCCTAGCCGCGACCACGCGCACCACCGAGCGCGACAGCCACGACCGCCGCCTGTCTCCACCTCAGCCGTGCCACCATCGTCTGCTGTCCGCCATCACCACCTGTCAAACTTGACAGGTGGAGGTATTTCAATTTCCCTTTCGATTAGTGTTTTTCTGGCTCTTCAATTACTAGCTTTTTGCATATTTTTCGTGGGTTTCATGATGGATGAAAGCAGGAAGTGATCTGGGCATTGTCTGGGTTTAATTTTACGGATGCAATTACGTTTATTTGCTGTTTCGTTTGGGAGTGTTTTCTGGCATCGATTACATTATTGAGTTGGCCTTTTGCTTTCATTTTTCCTTGTGACTCACCAGTGGTACTAGTTGAGATCTTTTGCCTATAGTTGTGCTTCTATTTGGAAATGCTTGCTTGTTTGACAGTTTAAGTTCTTGTGGTTAAGTTGTTGCTCATATTCTGATCTGCTGTGCTAGACCTTTTGGTTGGTTGAATGTGCCATTAACAGTCCCATTGGCGGCAGTTGTTGAGATTTTGGGTGATAGTGTGTCTTATTGCATTGTTGGGAGTTTTGTTCTGGTAGACTACATTTGTGGGTGACTGCATTCTACGTTTGTTAGTTGATTTGGATGGCTATTGTGGTTACATGAGTGTGTGCTTGAGTGTCCAATTGGGGGACATTTGCTGAGCCTTTGGGGGTGGGCAAGTGTTGTCATTCTCTGT